TTGTGTTTAAGTAATATTTAAAAAGTGCTTTCATATAAGCACAATAACCAGCACAACAGCAACCTAAAAAAGGGGAGACTCAGATGGTGGTATCAGGAATGTGTTAGGGCTCAGCGGGTGAGGCAGTGAAGCCCTGCATCCAACCACGAAATGCATTGAATGCTGGACAAAGGAAGGAAGCCAGGAGGAAGGCAAAGACAACACGGAAACACAAGCTATAATAGAACAGTGTGAGGGAAGCTTAAGGTGGGATGTGAAAGATCACTGGCTATAAGCACCCAGGAGGGGGCATGAGCTGTACAGACCAACGAAAGATTAACAAGTGAAACCTGTTTTTCCACAGATTTGACACAATGACCCCAGACCACAGCTTCTCTCCACCCACTCCCTCAGCTTGTAACCATCTAGGGAGAGGACATGTGGGTGTGGGTGGTGTAGTCCTACAATATCTCTATTTTCTTTAAAGTTACACAGACAAAATGAAAATACTTTCAAAGGAAGAACAGAGCAGAGTGTTCTTAAATAGGCTCAAAACATTTGGTGTATGCAGCATAACCCAGCATCAAAGCACAATGGGGGTTTTTGTGCATGTGTTCAAGGCAGTAGGATGGAGGATGAGTGCAGCGAGCTAGAAAAAAAATGTCTGGCTCTGACAAGGCAGGTGCAAGAGGGGAGGATAAAACTGAAGTCCTTTTTTAGTCATTGTCTTCCATTTGAAGTCTCTAATAAACTAATGCGGCGCTCAGTTGTTATTAACTCTTTGAATTCTGGGATTAAAGAAAAAGGCATTTCCCCTCTAGGTGTGATCACTAAAGACATATATGCTGACATGATGAAAGCATATGCAAGGCAAATTAAACCCTCAGCTCTTTTTAAAAATATACACCTGGTCACCTTCACACTCCTTATAGAATAAATTTTTTAACTCTTGTATTCAAAGCATAACGTCACTCCTAAGAGGCACACTCTTGAAACGGCGTGCATTTGATGTAAGTGGTGGCGACGCCAGTAAAGCTGTGTAAAAACCTACAAAATCCACATCAAGATGGAAATTATGGAGAGATTAGCTTTAGGAAAATATAATGATTTGGGTTATATTAGACCCTTATGGTGCATTAGCCATATGTTAAGCACATGCATGGACATGGTCAAGGCAACCTGCTGAAGATCAAACTGAGTGTCTGAATGAGGATGAAAGGCAGTTTCAATTACTTTAAATGTGGCATGGTTGAGTATTTCAAAATCTGGTGCTCTACTGGGATTTTCCAAAACAACCATCTCTAGGGTTTACAGAGAATGGTCTGAAAAAGAGAAAACTTCCAGTGAGCTGCGGTTCTCTGGGTGAAAATTGATGGTGTTGATGCCAGAGGGCAGAGGAGAATGGCCAGACTGCTTTGAGCAGGAAGGCAACAGTAACTGATCACTAGTAAACAATCATTCATTAGAACTAAAGTATGCAGAATGCACACAACATTGAACCTTGAAGCAGATGGGCTACAGTGGCAGAATACCACATCAGGTGCCACTCCTGTCAAGAAACCGAGCATAACATTTGCATAGGCATACCTAAAGTGGACAGTAGAAGATTGGAAAAGTGTTTCTTGGTCTGATGAGCCTCGATTTTCGCTGTTGGCAGGGTCCGAGTTTTGCGTAAATACCATGAAAGCATCGATCCAACCTGCCTTGGATCAAGAGTTCAGGCTGCTGGTATAATGGTGTGGGAGATACTTTCTTGTCTGTGAAGGTTCTCAGTCATCCAGGTCATCGTAGTCTAAGGAGCTTGGAAAGAAAAGCATCTGAACTTGAAGACGTTTCACCTCTCATCCGAGAAGCTTCTTCAGTTCTAGAGTCAAATAGTGGAGAGTCCCAGGTTTAAACCCTGTGGGAGTTTCCCCCCAAGAGGGACAAATCGACGCCCTAATGATCCTCTACCTAATCACACGAGCCAAGGTGTGAAAACGGGTGTAGGTCACAATCAGTCAAGGTTTTGTGTGAGCTCATTGTGAAACCTGGCCCCACCCTATCATGTGATTTCCTGAGGTCAGATGCCCCGAGATGTGAGTGGGCGTTAAGGCGTCTGGGAAGGGACTGGATTATAGATGTCAGAAAGTTTGTGTCATAAGCCACCGCCTCTGTTCAAAGATGGTCGCTCACAGTGGACATAAATGGCCTCTTTTACTCCTCTTTCAAACCAAGATATTTTCTTGGCATACTTTAGGCCCCTTAGTACAAAGTGCTTTCAATTTGATTCATTACAAACTGTACTGTACTCACTATACTCAAATGGCCTCCACGGCCACCAGAACTCTTCTGCGATGTGGTGGAACAAATCTGAAGCAACTGTGTGATGCTTTCATGTCAATATAGACCAAAATGTCAGAGAAATGTTTTTATGTCCTCATCGAATCCAAGCCATGAAGAATTAAGCTAGCTTTGCCAAAGAAACAAACCGCTACTAGCAAGATGTATCTAATAAAATGTCTTGTGAACGTGTAAGAATAGTGTATTAGCTATATGTTAAGCACATGCATGCAAACCTGTATTGACAGCAACCTTCTCCACCATTTTCCTTGTTATGCCTGAGGCGATGACCATCTTTCCAAAAAGATTTAAGGGTTTATATTTTACATGACTACAGGAGGTTGCCCAAGTAAATAGCCATTATTTTAACCACCCCTTAAGAAATACAGATGATTATTATTTTTTGATGAAGCATTATATATACTGTATGCACATCTGTAGCTATTTCTGTGCATATGTTTCTTCCATCTGCAATTCAGAGTATACATTTCCACATGAACAGTTACTTCAAATACACACTTGTAAACAGCTGGGACTTGTATATATCAAGTATTTTACAAAGGAAAGGAAATGAAACGAAAAAGAGAAAATGAACTGTAAGTACATACTGAAACACCCCTCTGTGTCCACTGTTATTTGAATCAACACCTCTGTGGTAATAATATGTGTCAAATGAAAGAGATGGCTTATACACCCATGAGACAGGCTGCACGGCAACAGACATGCGCTGACATGAAGGAATAGGGTCATACAGGCAACGAGGGCATCAGCTTGAAGCTTGAGTGGTTCTAACTAACTAGTCTTCTAAGAAGAGTCCCTCTCAGGAGTGAGCATGCTATATAAATACTTCATCATATCAGAATATTTTAATGAATGCTCCGGTGTGATTCAAGGCTAGGTTCTCTTGAACCATAGTCGGTTTTATTATCATTTCATTAGTATTATGAAGTAATGTGTTTTTCGTCTAATTTTGTTTGCCAAAGACTTTCTCAAGATAATTAGAGAATCGTTCATTTTGATTCATTAGTTTTTATCAGATTGACGTTGTTTAATGAACTTCAAACATCTGGGAAAGGTTTGATGGAACAGCTTCAATTAGCACCCATGTAGTATGTCTCAGAAAGTGTGAAAGTGTAAAGTATTGAAGCTGTGCTTCTGCCATCAGATAATCAAGCAGAGTACAATTATGAGTATGAAATGGATCAGGGCTATTAGCCGCTTGTTCAGCAGGGGTGTTGTGTCAGCTGAAGGGGAGATATGATAACTTCTACAGGTATCTCAGCGACTATTAAAAGGAAAGGACAGTGCAGCCTGAATGTTAAATCCAAATCTGAGCATGGCAGTGCATAATTTGAATGAACTTGTTAACATTTAAATACGGGGTAGAGTCGCATTTGTTGTCCATTAAAAATCTTCACACCTTGGCCTGAAGTGTTAAGACATGCTCTTTCAGTAAACGTACATGCAGTTTTGAGCTGCTAGCTCAAAGACTGTCCTTGTTGAAGAATGGTCAAATATCCTATTATGCACAGTTCAGGACCTGTGATTTGATCGTAATCCAAGGGGGATTATGGCTGCTCTGAATGCATAGGTTTGCTTTACTTCTTAATATGAAGGTGATAGTCAACATATTGATGGGGGAGGGTTTTTTCCTGTCACTCTCTCCTTCTCTTGTATTTTCCTTGTGTGTGAACATTGCGCTGTGTTTATCCAAGGTTCACAAGTGGCATGAAACAAGGCAAAATTGTGATGGGAGGGAACGAGCAAACTGGGTTACGCCAATGGGCTACGCCACTGTCTGCCAATGGCAGACCTGAATGGCATGGCAGACTGCCAACAGCTATTTATTTTATCCCCTGACATAGATATCTTCCCCCAGGAAGCTTTGCCATGGCAATTGTTTCACAAAGTGAGGTGTTCTCCCCCCGCAGGGTATATGAGAGGGTGGCCAAATGATACTATTTTCTTGCACAACTAGTGAGCAGCGGTAACAGCTTCTTCTGGGAGCCAAACGGTGTGTGGGGAAAAAAAGAGGCTTATCATTCATGAGAACCGTGAACCCAGCACTAAGTCACATGCAATTGCTTTAGTGATGTACAATCAGACAGCGAAAGAGAGAGAGAGCTGTAACTGGAATGACAGAATTATCTCATGACTTAGTGTTTCACAGAGGGGGTCTCGGGGCGTTCACGGTCACTGTGCCAGAGCTCTGACTGCAGCCTGTTGTAAGATAATAGTGTTAATTTTGATAAGAATAAAGGGAAAGAATTGAGAGGGCAATTTCTTTAGGAAACCATTAATGTAATCTTGTGTTGGATTAATTCTTGAGTGAATCAGGAGTGCTGTGAGGGCCAGTGTGGAGTTTATTCACAAAGTGTCCCCTCCTAATCTGCCGCTTTAAAATGTAAAATGCAATTAAAGACGCTCTGCCTGACTAACCGGGGATACATCAGCGAGAGAACACGCTCGACCTGACTGGGGATTGCTGCTAAACTCATAGAGAATTATCAGCCTTATGTGTTATATCCTAAGCTTCACTTCTGTGTACTTACATAGCTACTTACATTGGACATTTTGTTTTTCATTTTAATCGTTACAGCAGTGGAATCTAGCTACATTTCCGGGTCTTTTGCTGAGTATAACTAATTGAGTATCTGAGTTTCACTAACTGCCTGCGCAATTTTCTTTATTTCTTGCAGAGTTGCACTTCTCACGGATCGTCTGTTAAGGGCGGCAAAGTGGCACCAGGGGCATCAACAGTAGCTCCACCTATTCTCAGCAAAGCACTGTCTAAAGGGAAACGCTTCAGGTACAATTATGACATGCTCTTTTTTTTTTCCTGCCCTGTTTCATATCTGGGGCTGAGTCAGCATGTTTGAGCCATAAGGGGCAGTGAGGTGAAAAATTTAATCATCCCATGTAGTGTAATATGTATATCGTCGAGGCCGCTAACAAAAGAAAACAGATCACATACACATAGAGGTTAGATCTTATATCTGCGTGCATTTTATTGTATGATTATTGGTTCAGCGAGCATGACATAAAAAAGAAAAAACAGAGTAGAGGCTGTCAAGCTAGTTGAGGATGGAGACGTCTTTATTTACATGGCATTCAAGTAAATTGTTCAAAGTAATTAAATGTGTCCTCGGGCATCTCCTGAAATGACTAGTTGAACGCAGATAGGAGCGAACATAATAACACTCCTCCAAGGAGAAGTGAATTTAATGTCCAGAGTTAAACACTGACTCAGCCCAATTTTTATGCCATCCTTCAAATGACAGAAGATTCAAGGAAATGAACAGCGTTTTTGCTTTTTGCTACGAGGGATATCGCAAGCAGGGTTGCTTTGTGATCACAGCACTCAGTACCAAATGCTGCAGTTTCCAATCCTCAGAAGAACACAGGGATGTGGATATAGGCCGCGCTACAATGGCCTCATCTGAGCTGTTTACAGAGACGTTTCATTTGCTTTGATGATATGGATGCAGGCACACTTTGACAGTTAATGCTATTCAGTCACACGACATGTAAGCCTGCCATCTTTTCAAAGAAGTTTATTTTCCTTAGAAGCTATTACACGGATTGTTGATCCTCATACTTGTTGCCTGTTACCTGAGATGATTGGTACCAAATCTGAATAACAGTGTTGGAGCTGCACATTATGTTACAATGCAAGATATAGCACTGTGCAAAAGTCTTGAGCCACCCTTTTCTTTGTATTTTTGCGTGGGAAATGGTACATAATTGCAGTGATTAAAACTTGCAAACATGCATGGAAATGAAGCACAAACAGGCAAACGCAAGGCTTTCTAGCTTCTTTCAGGAGTCTTCAAAAATAGTTCTCCAGGCTTGTTGAAGGAAATTCAAAGCTCTTCTTTGGATGTTGGCTGCCTTTTGTTCTGTTCTCTGTCAAGATGTTCCCACTGCTGCAGTATTATTGAGGTCTGGGCTCTGGCCAGATCAGTCTATGACTGATAGTGCTCCATTGTGTGCTCTTTCTTTTCAGGTATACTTGAACTTCACTGGGAATATGTTTTGAATCATTTTCATGCTAAAATATAAAGCCGTTTCCAATCAGATGCTTTCCAGATGGTATTACACGCTGGATTGAAATGTAATTATTTTTCAATCGCCACTGGCTGAAATTTAGCCCCAAACCACCACAGAGCCTCCACCATGTTTTAAAGATGGTTGTAGACACTCAATGTTCTGGATCTCCTCCATTTATACTGGTTAAATAGTTCTAATACTGTTTTATGACTTGTCAAACTGCATTAGCGTTCACATTTTCCATAGATTCAACAAAAGAAAGGGAAGCAAATTATCTATTTTTGCAACTAGCTGCAAATAGTTTTTTGCCAAGTTGTTATGTGTGGACAAAATGCTGATTCACCCCTTGAGTCAGGTGCCTTTTTTATGCTTGAATGAATTTATAGGTCAGTGTTGTGGCTAGACAAAAAAACCACCACTTTCATAAAATTACAAGAAAATCTGGCTCATTAAAAGAGAAATAGAAAGAAATCGGGGTGACTCAATACTTTTAAACAGAACTGTTGTGCATAAGTTTTAACATATTTATTTAAACCCTCATTATTTTTGGTATAGCGTGTTGGATTTTCCATATTCTGCATCAAAAGCACAGAATACAGAATGTACAGAGATTAAAAGAGCCTATGTTAGGGTAGAAAACGGTGAATGGCGAGCTTGTCTCTATATACCGAGGAAGGGTTTTTTTTATGTGTGGCTGACTGCGATGCCACCTTTAGTGAAAGCCCCACTGTGGCAGCAGTTATTCTGTTTTAATGGACCAGTGCTGTGTCAAAGAGGAAAGTTTTTTACAAAAAAAGGTTGTCATATGTGGCTGCGGGGATGGTACCATCTCCCTCTGGTGTTTTATTCTCCGCAGTGTCGTGCAGGTGCCTCATGAAGGGCAGCTGACAGTCAATCATCTGTTCAGCTTGCTCTCAAAGTAGGCCGAGGCAGGGGAGAACTAGACTGTGATGGATGATGTTGAGATGCTTTCAGCTATTGACCTGAAAGTGGACCACAACGTGAGCTATCAGGAGAACTGCACCATAAACATGTGTCAATATGGCCTATCAATACTGCTGAAAATGGTTACCTGTGTCTCATTGGTTTATAATTAGGCTGGATTATATGCAAACTGATTCACTTGTAATGCAGATTGCCTCTGTTGAGCTGAGATTTTGTTAAATGTCACAATACGATTCTAAAACAGCTGTAACGTAATCTTTAACCAACTTAGCATTAATACGTTAGTGCGTCTGAACCTTCTGTAATTAGCATTAAGCACATTTAAGGCTGACAGGATTTGTTGTTTTGCACAAGCAAACGTTATCCTTTAATACACGTCACCAAAGGCATTAGCAATATCTTGCCTTGCAGTCAATGGAAATGTCTGCAATAGAAGATATTTGTTTAAAACCCATAAATATCATCCAACGTTTGCACTAGTGGAAAATCCAGAAGATCTTATCAACATTTTTGAAACATGGTTTGTTGCAGAGAGCTTCTCTGTGAAAAATAGTTAGGACAGTCTTCTTCAAAAAAGACAGGTGATTGACTGAACCATCTGCGCAATAGCCCCACCATGGACTAAACTCAAACAGCAGATCAACAAGCCACAGGACAACCAAGGAACATCAATGAGGGGAAGAAAACAACAGATTCGGAAGACCTTGAAAGCTTTGAAAGCTAGCAAGATTTCTTAAAGAAAATATGCATATAAAGGACTCCTAAAGATACTTAACAAATACTTTGTTAGGTGATTACATATAAGATCCATTATTAAAGGTAAACCAGACCTTTAGTTGACCTTATACACCCCATAGTTCCTCATAGGACTCCCATTTCACCGACTTCAGTGCGCCTTTGATTGCATGCAGTAGTTGACAAACTTAGTAAGATGGATTCTCTGGTGATTATGAATCTCGTGTGAATCCAGATCTCTTGTAAGGTAAATCAACTTAAGTAGAATTAATCCTTTGAGGACTGCCATTGCAGAATGAGAAGGGCAAAAACGGATCGTTGAATGAAACGGATGAACCAGAATTGGTTTGTAAAAATGCTGCAACCTCAGTGGTGTGGAATTGGTTTAGCTTTCGTCCGTCAGATACACACCAAAGCACAATTTTTGGTAGAGCATGCAAGTAGGCCGTCGTTATTACCGTGTTTTTCAGAAAATACGGCACACTTAAAATCCTTTGATTTTCTGAAAAAGCGACAGTGCCCCTTATAATCCGGTGTATGAATTCTGGTTGTGCTTACTGACCTTGAACCGATTTTATGTGATGCACGGCGCTTGAAAATCTGTCAAAAAATGTTTTAGTATGACTTTGATAAGCTATGAAGCCGCACCGCTTGATGGATTGTCGGAGCATTACAGGTATCGTAGGCAGCAGCCTCGCGGAGTGATACGTACTGTGCTTCAACTTATTGTGTTTGTATAACCTCTTTTTAAGTTTTGTGGATATTATACATGGTTATGCTGAGGATATGTCGGCCAGTTTCACTGGAAATGGTTAAACTGTCAGCAAGGAATTTGCATTAAAAAAACAGCTGCTTGTTTAAGTGAAAATACATTGATGGGTTTTTTGGTTTTGATTTTTTTGCACTAATAAAGTTGCGGAGTTGTAAATTATTTTGTCTCGTGTTAATTATATCATCAGTTATATCGTTATCGCAAATTTTCAATTTATATATCGTGATAAATATTTTTGGCCATATTGCCCTGTCATACTCAGCCTATTCGTGGGTATGCTGCCTTTGATGGCAGCTGGGAATTTCTGGCTCCAGAACTGAGGTTTTTCAGCCCTGATTTCCATGATTTAAGTCATTCAGCCAAGAATAATTGGCATTACAATGCTGGTTAAATATGAACTTAAAACCTTGTGCCATGTGTTATCTAGCACATCAGCGCCAAAAGCAATTAAATCTTTATTTTGTTCACCTGATATAATATTTGACAAAGGATGTATTGAGCTTGTTTTTCCTGCTCTTCTGCTCCTGCAGTTAAATGAACTACACGCCTGTTGATTGCAGAAAAAAAGCTCAAGGCAACCATCGTTCATCAAATGTTTAGAGGTCAAAAATCATTTCGATTCGTAACTTCGCACTTGCGTGTCCTATTGAATGCGGTAATATGTACGAGTTGCTTTGATGAAAACGGTGGACTCCTGCTGACACAAGTCAATTGCTGTTTTCACTTAAATTCAGTTGATTACAATGATTCCTTTGTCATGATGGTATTATGAGAAAATTGTAGTAAGAAGCCTAATCAATGTGCTGAAAGCCGCCACGTGTGGCTTGTACATGTTGAGTAGGGGACATAATCAGTATCCATAGTGAATATCAGAAGTGCTATGTGGGTGTTTCCTGCTGGTTTAATAGAAAATGGTGTTTACTCTGAAAATGTGGCATACTTTTTCCATTTTTTTAACTCACCTCAGGTTCTTTGTCACATGCCATCCCCCTCTGTTTTCCTGCCGTTTCTCTCTCTCTGCGATATGTCCGGTAAAGGCATTAACAGAGGGAGGAAGTGGTTTAAATAAGTACTGGATTACCCTACCAACCAGGCTTACCCATTTAACATCAGGGGGTTGCACAGTCTTGTTGAATTGTGGAGATAAGCAGCTGCCTTTCCGTTTTAAAAGGTTCAACTTTTATCATTCAGTAATTACAACAGCCCCAAAAAAATCATGTTTTCATGTTTTTTCCAGTTAATCCTAATTTTAAAAAAATCAGCACGCTAATAGCCAACAAAACGGACAATATTTAGCTGTATTCATATCAACTTTTTACAACATCAGTCGATATAAAAGCCAGCAAACACTAGAGCCAACATTGTGTATGCTTTTTGTTCCACAGCCACGGACATCAGCAAATTACTGTAGCAGAGCGTTTTTTTGTTGTTGTTTTTTTCAGTGTTCCAGTGGTTTATCAATTATTAAGCAGTCATCCACTGGACTGCATGAAAGAAAAGGAATCAGGGAGTTCAGTTTAATGACTGGCAAGAAAATCCTAAAGTTTGAACATCTTGATTACTATTTCAATAACAAGAAGAATCAAACAATGCAGCACTTCATACACAAGCCATTTTTGTGCTGCGCCAAATTATTCAAGAGCCAAAATCAAGCTGTGAGAGCGTGTGGTGCTGATTTTTGTTTAATGGTTCAATACAAAAAAAAGTTATTTACACGACAATAATAATATGTTTCAGCTCTTTTCAGTGGTTCAACTAGCACAATCAACTGACATATTGATCACAGAGGATTTGCTGGTAAGCAACGATCAGGGTAGCCACGGTGTCTTAAAGAAATTCATAATAACATCAAAATAATTGAGTGTATTTTGTGATTACATATTCATTGGGAGCTGTTTGTCTTTGCATGATGTGCTCACACATCAGATTGCATTATGGCTCGGTGTACCTTGGATTTAATACCATTGCTTCATTACTGCAGACATCCAGGGATCTGCTTTGAGGCAGACCACCTACTGCCCACAGACCAATTTAAAAACTGTGTGCCTAAACAGGAAGCTCAGTCTCTAAAGGCAGCTGCTTCTATCATTAACAGCAGTAGAATATCAGTATGTAAGCTAGAGGTCATTTTCAAGGTGCAGGATAACCCCTAACAATACATGGCATTTATTTGAAGTTCACAGAAAGAAAACACTAAAGCAGTGTTTTCTATATGTTCTGAACGATAAAGGTCTGTATGGAAACTTCGTTAGCATGTTAGCACTTGCTTAACCATGCTAGTGCATGGCTCTTTGGATCAAAATGACACTTTAAAATGTAACATTAAAACTGTAAATTATCCTGTAATTTGCGTTGAATGGCTAAATCAAAAATTATGGAAATAATCAAATTCTACAAGTAGGAGTGACATTGTCTTCTTGGTGATTCCCAGCTTCCAGCATCCATCACTGACAATAAAATGTGTAAACACAGATGTTAATTCAAAAATGATTGTTTAAAATGTTGAATGTTCGGTCCATGAATCCATCCATCCATTTTCTTCCGGGTGAAGCTCGCAGGGGCCACAGGATAAGCAGAGAAGCCCAGACTGGCCTCTCCCCAGCCACCTCCTCCAGCGTATCCGGGGGAACACCAAGGCGGTCCCAGGCCAGCCGAGTGATATAATCTCTCCAGCATGTCCTGGGTCTGCCCAGAGGTGGGATATGCCCAGAACACCTCACTCAAGATGCGCCCAGGAGGCATCCTTGTCAGATGCCTGAACCACCTCAACTGTCTCTTTTCGATGTGGAGGAGCAGCGGCTCTACTCTGAGCCCCTCCCGGATGGCCTAACTCCTCACCCTGTCTCTAAGGGTGAGGCCAGCCACCCTTTGGAGAAAGCTCATTCCCGCCGCATGTATCCGCGATCTAGTTCTTTCAGTCACTAACCAAAGCTCATAACGATAGGTGAGGTTACTCAAAGAAGGCTTCCCTATTGCTGTGTTGAAGAATAAAGGTGGTCGTACCAAATACCAACTTAAAATATTGACATTAAAAACCAGGAGAGACTCAAGACTTTTGCACTGTTTCCTCTCAAGCAGCAAAGGGTTTTTCATTTAAGCATGTATGTAAAAAACTTTTTATATTAATCTTTTAATTCTAAAGCAGCCCTCAAAGTACATGAAAAAGTATGTGTTTAATAGTGTAACACACCTCTCCTAGAATGCACCGCAGTAAGTACACAGCCTCTTCTCCGGCACCTGGTTCGAGGCAAAATCTCTGTGAGATTTGTTCAATAAAACCCAGGGAGAAACTAGTCCTGCATCTTTACATTCACAGGCAACAAAAACAGAGCATCGTCACACTGCTAACCTCCACATTTTCCTTGGGATTAGACCTTTTCACAGCACATATTGCAGGGAAAGCACGGGTGTATTTTTGTAATATGAAAAAACAGCTGCATTCTTCGTAGGTGAGCCAATTCCAAGAATGAATGAACGAATGCTTGGCATGAAAACCATCTTTCTATGCTACATGTGCACTTTGTGAATGTGAATTAATCTAAGCCCCCTTTTCAACAGGTAGAAGGGAGTGAAAAAAAGAAAGCGTAAAGAATGCATACTAATCTTGAAATTAAAACATTTACACTAAAGATATTTTTTGGAGGGGGGTGGCGTTTCAAGCGCATTCGCGTTTCCCTTTAAGGCACAGCTTGAGATTTCTCCCATAGTTCCTTCCCTCCTCTCTTGCGGGGGTGGGAAGAGTGTGGAGTTTGCATGTTATCTCTGTGCCTGCGTGGGTTCTCTCTGGGTGCTCCGGATTCCTCCCACAATCCAAAGCATGTTAGGTTAATTGGTGATTTTAAATTGGCCATAGGTGCGAATGTGAGGTTGGATGTTTGTCTGTCTGTCTGCATTAGCCCTGAGATAGACTGGCAACCTGTCTGCCGTGTACTGAGCCTTTCAGCCTGAATTAGATAAGCAGATGAAAATGGATGGATGAATGGAAATGATTCCATTCTTATGTAAATTGTATTGCTTATTGATAACTTACGATTCCTTTCACGTGTATCTGATTCATCTGTCTCATAAGCTTCGATACCAGGGTAATTTCCGCGTCGAGTCAATTGAAGGTGGGATTGGATTTTGTTTTTTCCCCTTTCAAGTCTCAAGCACAAAGGTCGATTTACTCCAGATCATTTTTACATCATGAAACCCTAGAAAGGACATCTATAGCTGATACAACAGATGAATTAGTGAACGGTCTTTACCTAATGATTTTGACCCATCTCTTTTGCATGCTGTCTGGTTTCAGGAGTAGTTCGCTCTCACTCAGCCCAGCCCTACAACGGAGAGAGACTAATTACTTCAGGACTCCACCCATTTCCAGAGGGAAACACAAAATACCCACAAATCTTATTGACGGATCCAGAGTGGCGGGGCATGTCTACAAACACTTGCAGGAGGATGAGTCATCGGACATGGAGTCCATAAGAAGGTGAAACTATTTCTTTGTCTCGTTATTAGTTTTGTCATGTTTGTTTGAGCCAGCAAAGAGGAAATTCTCTTCGCCTCCCTCCACGCTGAGGTCAAATAGCCGGTTCAGTGATACAGACCTCTGGACTAACTAAGGTTAAGTCGGAGTGGCAGAGGGATAATTTAGGGAGAAATGAGTTTATGACTGGAAGACTCTCAGTTCAAATCCGTGAACCAGCCTATGAAATGTGATCCAGGGAAATAAATGAGATCTGCAGTGCCCCCCCTACCCCCCTCCTCTTTCAGCTGGGACTGTCACAATTAATTTGGAGAACACACTTGATCCCAAAAGCGCAACAGTATCATGGTGCTGGGGAAGATGTGTGTAATCCTCGCTGCCACTGGGCTGCTGCTGTGAATGAAAATTTGTTTTATCTGCATGTTTTAACAGGGTTAAAAATACAACGGCTGTGCCAAAGCTAATTATCAAATGATGCACGGGTTCACACGAATTTCTAGCTATCCAAAACGGTTTGATTTTGGCTAATGATCAAGCATGGGAAGCATCATAGTTCACATATCAACAAAATGATTAAATTTCTGTAATTTACAAGCTGAGTATAAAGTACATTAGATGACTGCGGCCTCTTAGAACAGGCTACATGTTGAAATGGATTACTTCCAGGCTTTTGCACATCTTGAATTGCCCCCATGCTCCCGCTGATGTCGAGTGAAGCGAGCTGGCCTATTTTGACGGCCATCCCGAGCGAAGCGCAGCTACTGGTGCTGTTTCAGGAGGCATTCGAAGCGAGAGGGACTTTTGGCACAGCCTAGTCTGCAGACTTAAAACACATTTAAAAAGTACAGACTGGTCACGCTTGCTAAAATGTGATGTGATGTGAAATCCTCTCTGACATACTGATTTTTTTTATGTTAAAACAAAGCTTTTCGCATTAGTTATAACTTTTCTTTTGCCCTTTTTCAGGCTGATTGTTGCGTAACGACCACCAAAGACGGAAAATATTTATCACTGAGGTGCTTGTATTCCTCGGTGCATTGATGCATAATGTCAAGCAGCTCCACTGGCATTTCTCCTTCAAAACACTGTAAACATTAAATAAGTGTAGGTTTTATTTACAGATGCAGACAAGAGCATCTTAATCCTGCGTAAGACAGCCCTGTTTAGCATATGACTCAGAAGCAGCCTAATTTGCTGTCACTGTGTGGAACTTGAGCAATAGCACTGTTAACAGAAACGTCTGTCATTAAAGCAGCAGTGTCCCCTGTGCATTTCACACACTTTAAAGTGCCTAGCAATGTTCCTATTAGCATGCCAACCTGATTGAGCATTACAGTAAGTTACACTGCAAGCTGCCAAACTCTTTATGTGACCTATTTCCATAATTTACATTTTTAAACAAAGCTCCACAGAGCTCAGCAGTTCTTTCAAATGGTTGTGCAGAAAGATCCTTCAGGAGCAGTTTCCCTCTAAACACACACACACTCACAAACATGCACGCTCGCACTTATAAGGAGTAACGAAACACACTAATAAAGAAGCTGACGAGAATTCTTTTTCACAACGGTGAAATCTGTAAAGCTATAGGCAATTAAATCTGCCGTGCTTTGTCAAATGTTTAGGAGAGGAGCTGAAATAGGAGGGCTTGTCATCTTCTTGGGGATAAAATTGCATTTGTGTAGTAACAATTTAGATCTCATTAGCCACTGATAATTCCCCCACACATCCATCACTCAAATATGGCTTTCGCTGGCCTTCTGGAGGTTGAAATGACCTATTTCTCGACTTACAAGCCACGCAACACCAAGCTTACAGCCCTCTCCTCCTCCTCCTCCTCCAGCCCCCATGTCTCCCGTGTTGCCATGGATACACCCTCTCATCTCTGGAAATGAGAGACGGGAGGTGGAAAGGAGAGTGAGAGAACGCGAGAGGGGAAAGTGAGGAAAGGAGGAGGAGGACTGAGCCGAGAAGTAAAGATGGAGGCACCTAGTCCGGCGCGGTGGAAAGTGCTAATAAAGAGGCGAGAACCACAAACAGACGCGAGAGCACTCTTCTACGTTTTCCATTTTGTGACAACAAATCCCCACAGAGTATTGTCAGTTTCATCATCTGGTGTCAAAACATATTTACCCATCACGGTTAGCGGAGGAATTGAAAGCAAATTTGCTATTGGAGTTATTTTTAGGTTTTGTTTTGATCTGTCGGATTTACCTCCAGCTTGCTTTTGCCCTTCTAATACCAAGGGTGGGGGAGGAGGGTGGGGTGGTAATTCAATTTTTTAAACTTGGTTACGCTGCCAACAATCTTTCAAGGCTGACAATAACACTGGATGCGATTCTAAATGGGAGTCGAGGCTTCAGCAACAACTTTAACAAACATACACAAACTTGCCCACTTGACTCCAGATAAGTTTCCCCTCTCTGCCGTGTTACTGTCATGGCCGACGATAATGCCTTTCAAGCTTATCTGCTTCCGCTCTCTACGTTTGAAGGAGGATGCATCATCATGCAATTCAACCCTGCTTAATGTTACATCGTGGGCCCATCTGATTAGTTGCTTGCTGTGTGAAAACTACAATAAAATGAAATTAGAAGCCGTGTGAAGCCGTGTATTGTTTCTACATACAACAGTCACACAGGGCGGGTCAGGAATCCACCTGCTGTGCTGCTAAAGCCTTAAATCTCTGATAAGGCAGTGATGAGCAGAGGGATTTCTCAGTTAAACATTCATGCAGCAACAGTAGACCCCGCTCATGCCAAGGATTATACATAATTACACGTAGATTATGAAACAACAATACCTAAATAGTGATCATTTTGTTTGGTACAAGATATTTTTGTGCCGGTGTGAAATGATACGGTGAAGCCTTGACAGACTGGCATCTTTCTAAAACACAACGAATGTCATCTTGGTGTTCTAAATATGGAAGGTAACTTCATATTCTCTATTGCTCGGGCTTTTCTATTCATTTAAAATTAGGAAAGTGTCTAAGATGAAAAGGTCAAATTATAAATGACTTCCTCACCCTGACATTTCCATCCTTTTCTCTTTGCCCAAAGGTGTGATTCTGCCGGCGGAAGGGTCGGCGCCCTCCTGAGCAGGACCTCACTCTCTCACTTCACAGCCAGGAAAGGATGGACTGAGGTTCCCTGCACCCGCCTCGATAAAGGTACGACCTTCCTGCCACCCTCCCTCCGCACCCGATCTGTGCCCATCATCCCTTCGCTCCAAGCGTGTGACCTTGAGGCCGGCCACCCGGTCACGAGTGACCGGAACCAAGCGGGGCTCTTCAAGTGGCACCCCGTGCTGGCTGGAAAGACGGGCCTTCCCGTTAGCAATCCTCCCTCTCCCCCTGAAAGCGTCATGCTGGCGACCAGTGTCATGCCCAGCAGCGTTAGCCCCCCCGCCGCCGCCGCTTCTCTCCTGGGGTTGGAGAAGAATCTCGGCTCTCCTCAAACACCCTGCTCCTTTGAAATTACAGTGGAACTCGCGCAGGAGTTAAAACAGAAAAGCCTTTGCAGCCCCATGAAAAGGTCTGGGTCTCACAGTGAGATCCACCACGGTGGCACAAACACTCTTGAGAAGACGGCACGGGAGTCAGAGGGGAAAAGTGTCCAGTATTCCCCCAGAGTTCTGCACACAGGCAGCGGGACCAGAGGATGGAAGGCAGCAGGCCAAAGAGGAACCCGGGGACAGTGCCAAGGTCAGACATCTCTTGTGTACGGAGGAGCAGACTTGGCCACCAAAGGACCCATCTGCAGAGGAATTGGAAACACTTATGCCAAGCCCTCTGCGAGCTGATTGGATTAACTCTGTAAAGAGAAGACACCGTTTCCAATAAATGTATACCTTTGCTGGTGGCTCAGTATGGCTAGCAGGTGGGACCATCTGTGTGGCCACATGGACCAATAACAGATGGCCATCAGTTTTCGAAAGAACACGAACAGATTGAATTCCCGAGGGGGGAAAAAATATTGACACAAAAGACATCGAATTACAAAAGGAAAAGAGACAAACAAACACACATTGTGAATAAATGTGACTCAAAAGGAAAACAAAACCATGACTTGAGTGGGAGCTTGACTTAAACAGTGTATTGAAAAAAATGCCACTATTACAAGGAGCTTCTACTTAGAAACCAAAATAGTGTGTTATCTCTATGTTGTTTCTCTATTGTAAAGAAATGAAATTATATATGTCATATAATATATGTCATATAGACATATATATATTTGACATACAATTGTGACAAAATAAAGACTAAGATAACAGTGTTAATTATGGGCTTTATTCATCTTAATCCATTTTCGTGACTTAATCGGCATTCTGAAATAAATCTGGACAAATATCGAAGTCGAGTCGAACGATTACAAGTAACGACAAAGCTGTCAGGAGATCGTTGCATTTGTTGGAAATACATCAGATTTCAAACATACGAGTTCTCTTTGCTGCACTTTCTACTGTATGTGAAACTGTAGTTGCAAATAAGCAGGTAGTTGAAAATAAACAGGGTATCACCAGAAAATGCAGGAAGCACCAAAAACAAGATTCTTTATAAGTAAAGCAGTGCACCATGTTTGGCTGCTTTAGTAAGCCATCGTGCAGCCTTCTGGTCTCTTGCTGATGGGATTTTGCCAGACTAAAAATGGCAACACTTGCTGTTGTTTTTAAAGTTTGTAGTTGTTAACTTGGGAGCCCGTTTTAATGAACTTATTTATATATTGCCATTAAATAAGCAACAACTACAGCTGGGCCTGTGGATAGACTGTCACAGGGCTGTCACTTAGTGTTTTGTGAGGGATTATCCGTCCTTCACAATGGAAGGGTCAAGTTGGTTTAGGTACTGTATGTTCAGTAATCCGCTTGTCGAATGATAATATATCAAGCTTTTGCTGGTTCCAAGCTCCTACTTCACTTGTTTAAGCTGTTGGCTTTTTAACGTGTTGCAATCCTTTGTTTTATTTAACAGAGGAAAGCCCTCTTACAGATGTGCGACACATCTTTTTAAAACTCTACAGCCTTTGGGCTCACAGTGTCCAAGACAACAAATACTTGAATGCTTCAGAAAAGATTTCAGTGTTAGCTTAAGATTACAACTTTGGCATAGCGAGTAATTCAAACCACACAGTAACAAAAATGATGACCAACCCAATGGATCCGTTTTTTTAAATACTGAAGTCAGAACAGTATCGTGCATCACCTTCAGACAAAAACTAGTGAGCTAACTCCTCTTTTTCAAATGTTAAACGTAATATTTTATCATTTTATTGGAACTGATTTGTTTTTGCAAACCATGGGAGCTTTTGGGACTAGAAATCAAACTTAATAAGTGTATAAAGATTCTGGTTTGGTTCAGTGAAATTCTATTTATGTAGCTCACTGGTTAACAATAAAGGCCTTCTTAATATGATAAAGGTGTTTTGTTAGTACACAATCCAACAATCACACTTTTAGCAAGCGCTTGGCAACTGCGGGGAGGAAGAACTGCCCTTAAACAGGAAGAGCAAAAGACAAAACACAGATAAAAAGAGCATTGGGGGTAACAAACATGGCAAAACACAAACTAAACTATAAACTTCAGAGCACAGCTAAGCTGCTACTACTGCTCTTGCTACAAGTGCTGAACCATATCAATATTACCACAGCCCTTTACCTCTGAGGCATATAACCAAACACCTTCATACCCTATGATGTTAAAATGAAAGAGATGACTGGTGAACTTGCCAGTGTGTTATAGTTGGAGCCACAACCACGAAACTTCAAAATATAGAGAGTGGTATAGGAGTATTGATTGCCGTATCAACATACAAAGTTTCCGTGGTGATGAATGGTACCTTTCCCTTTAAATCTAAAATTTACTGTTTTTTGGTTGGTGTTTTTTGCTTGTGCATGTGTGTGCACGCAGGTTTTCCATAATGGATCTCACAAAAAAATATGTAAATTGAGCCGAGGATAATGTGGAAAGCTTTGGTAATGGAACGATTGTGTATGTGAAGAAAAAGGTGACTCAGATACTGTGAATGATAAGAGTTCTTCAAAGATTTTCCATGTTCTCACTGAGTGCAGAATTATACTCATTATTCATTATTTCCTATGATAAACCTTGGGCTGTATCCATAGGCTATGAGCACAAAAGAAGACCTCCTTCCACAGTGATGAATTCTAACAATGGCCATGAGGTTTGTGGTTGGAAATGAAGCACGGCAGCATACAAGCTGAACGCAATTCTTTATTTATGCCTCATTTACGTCAAATTCACTATATCTCACTTTCCTCCCTTTCAGGTTTGCAATGACTGCTGGCAAGGTAGATTGTACAGCACTTACAAATGGGTATTACTGAGATTTCTTCATCACTTTTTTTTTTTTTTTTGCAGAATAAAACTATCTTAAGTCTATAAGAAGGCTTTTGTGAAGATTAAAATGAACTTCATTGATCCCTGATGAGAAATAGAGCCAAGACAGCTGCAAAGGAAAGATAAAATTACCATAAATAGAAAATAACTTGCATCCTAAATGCAAATGCATACAGTAAAAGCTGGTAAGACAGAATTTACTATACTTTTCACTGAATTTTCAGATGCTGATGGAGATTTGCATAGGATATTTACCTGATCACAAAAGGTGCCCGGGTGTGCGAATACAGTTGTATTTCTTTTCTTATTTTTAAAGTGAATAAATAAAGTAAAGAGCACATTAAATGCTGATATTTCCATAGAGGGTATAAGTTATAGTGGGCATGCTGTTTCCTTCATAGCATGCAAAAGATTATGGACTGACGTGTTTCACAGCACTCTAAACATGAAATAAGACTAATGATGGAACACGATTGCCTACTAAAATACAGTTCATCACATTTCTGAATGCATCATTCGGATGCACATTTATCCATCAGCGTTTCATGCTTTACCATCAGCAACAAAGTGATATTTGCAGGAAATAGCGTGAAGCAAATGTAGTATATTACCCTTACCATTTAAAGTAACAACTATGCTGTACGCAGAGTCATCATTAAGCTAAAATGCAGGCATTGGGTGCACACTGGACCAACCCAAATAATATAGAAGGAAAAAATATCAACTCAAGGGAGTATTTTGCTAGCATGGTGTGGCTACACTTAGACAGAATGGTCACTGCAAATCAATGCAGCATTGTTTTGAGTGATTATATTTATCCTGTGATGAAACATTTTTATCCTGATGGAATAGTCTCTTCCAGAAAGACAGTGCCCCAACTCATATGGCAGAAAGGGTCACTGAATGATTTGATGAGTATGAAAATGATGTGAATTGTTTGTTGTGACCTTTGCAGTCACTCTATCTCAACCCAGATGAATACGATGAGAGATTTTGTCTTAGGCACACTCTTCACTACCATCAGCAAAACAGCAGAGTGGGAAATATCTTTTGGACCAGTGGTGTTTCAGCAGAGTATCAATGCAATGGCACACCAAGGAAATGGTGGCCGAGGAATTTACCATGGCCCTAATTTGTCTATCTAATTCAAATGGCCTAATATCTGTGAATAGCACTTTGGGATTGCCAAATTACCTTATATTCTACCATTTTAGATGTTGAGCAGATTAGTTTGTCACATTTTGCACATTTTCTGTTAGTGAAAATGTAGCATCTATTTTTTTATTTAAGTTAGTTTAGGTAGTGTTTAAAAAAATCTGTAAATACTGTTTTGCTGTTTTAGCAAAGAAGCCTGAAGTGTCTCTATCCAATAATCCACCAAACACTTGAAGTGGATACAGTCAACACTGGACACCAAAGCTCTGAAAATCCCTGATCATATCTCATGGAAAACTGCCAGCTGCGAGGCCATGCTACTTACATACAAGCTCTGAACCACATGTTAACTGATCTTCTTATTGAAAAAATTACATAACGACCAATGTGAAAATCACAACGACACAATGGCAAGCTTTCTAATCAGCTCACGATTGTAGTCAAATATAAAGCTGGAAATAATAGATTGCTGTCAGAGAAGGCTCTTCCCATGTGGCACTAATGAGAGGCCGTGTGGATTTGAAAAGGCCGGGATCAGTCTTTGATCACAGCTCACAGTGAATGCTGGAAGCACTGTTTGAAGCATCTTTTTAAAGAGTCGCAGTCTCACTGTTTGCAGACAGGGTTCTCCCTCTAAAACATCTGAGCCAGGGATCCAGGCAGCACTCACCCAGACTTAATCAGCTAATATCAGTAGTCCACATGTAACAAAAGTAGTGGATCCATTTTGTGGGAAACGGGAGAAGACGCTGGCATTGTGAAGGGACAGCAGCACATAAATGAGGAGGATGAAAAATTAAGTGTTCTCACTGCCTAAAATGAGTCGGTTTGTTGGAGGTGGGCCCTTACCCTGTAACTCTTCTATTAATCCTCGCAGGTGTTGACTCTTTTATGTTTCTGAGGAATGTCACATACGCACTGGTCTCTCCTGCTCAATGTGAGAGGAATACTAATGAACCAGGGGTGCAAGGGGACTGTGAAGTTCCCCGCCAGATGGCACAGAGATTATGACGACAGCAGGCCAGCATGTGTAATGCAGAGCTACCAGTGTGGATGTCTCCTAGCATCTCTCACAGGCTCCCCTCGATGTGGGATATCAGGTGATATTTAACATTGCCAGTGGCCATGTTGATAGTGGAAGTTTCTCTCCTGAAAGGAAATATGTTTTGTTTGTTCTTAAGTGACAGCTGCTGACATTGTGAATGCAACAGATTTAGTAGCTAAGATAGGATCTCCTGCAGTATGTTTTTGAAGCTGAAGCTTCCTGTATCTGTTTTTAATGTCTGCATAAGAACTCAGTTTCAATGAACTGGCATGTACAAGACCAGAAGTAACCCAAACGGAATGCAATCGTAATTATGCAAATGGTAAATGCACTGATACTTGTATAGCACTTTTCTACTTTATTGGAGTACCTAAAGTGCTTTCTTATTAAACGCCTCATTCGCCCATTCATTTATAGAAATGACTTTTTCTGTGCTTAAATGCTTTTAAACTAACCTTCACATTCACACTCTGACGAATGCGAACTCAGTGTTCAGGATCTTGCCCAAGTATATTTTGGCATGTAGACTAGAGCAGCTGGGGATTGAACTGCTGACCTTTTGATTAGTAGACGAGCCAATCTACCTCCGGTTACATGTGGTTCCCTCC